ATGTGGTGCTGGGGGATTGAACCGCGGTCCCTGATGCTTTTGCTAAACTTGTTCTAAGTAGGTGCTTTAGACCACTGAGCCATCTCTCCAGCCCCTATTTATAAAGATTTAATAAAAATGTTAAGACATTTGGTTTGGGGGTTTTTGGAAACAGGGTCTTGCTACATAGTTCAGGCTGACCTTAACTCATTGCATAGCCTAAGCTGGCCTGGAACTCGGTGATCCTCCTGCCTCAGCCTTGCAAGTGCTGGGATTACAACACCATGCCCAGCGAGACATTTGTTTAAAAATTTGTAGAAAGGAGTTGCTGAGAAACTAAAAAAATATATATATATTGACTGGGGTACATCAAAGGAACATAGGAACAGACTGAAATAGTGCCCAATGGCCAAAGCTGGATGAATTTGGGTAAAAGTATTTGATTATGGTAATACTGATAAAAATGACAAAAAGGACACAAATCTGCTTTGCAACAGAATTCCAAGTAGGTGGTGTCTTCACTCTGCTCTTAAGAACAGCCCAAGTATCTACTCCTTAAACGTGAGCTTTGCATGGAGACTTCCTTCCAACCAGTAAGAAAACATCAGACAAACCTCACTCAAGGGACACCTTACAATCTAAGTCAAAAACAAATTACAGAAACTGACATAGCCAAAAAGAGCCTACTGCAGTAGGCACTCTATGGAAGCTATAGCCTGGAACTGAAAGGGACCCTTCAACTATTAGGAAATACAAGCAAGCAAGCTGGGGACTGCAATTACTATCTGTCGCTTCACTGATAACATTACACTATCACAAAAATATAAGGAAAATCGGGTGAGGGGCTTATGGGAATACTAGAACACCTTCAATTTTTTGATGAATCTAAAATTGTTCTTTAAAATATTCAGAATTCTTAAAAATTACTTTCTATAGGTACGTGTAAGAATATAAATGCATAGAACAAAGTCTGAAGATGAATGAGGAATCTCATGCTAATTCTCTTGTGTTACATGAGTTGCTTATATTATAAACAATATATTCATAGAGTACTATCACGTTAATTTGAGATACTTTGGGGGAAGGTAAAAAGAAAATGAGAACCGGTTTAGGCTTATTGTTTGTCAGCAGAAAAGGTTTATTTCTTTAAACACAAATAATGAAACCACATCCAAGGGCTTAACTTACAGACACAAACCAAAGGAGCATGGAAGCTTTAGATACTGAGGTCCCAGACGTACAGTGGGGAAACGCTTCTGGTTTGAAGCGCACGCAAGCCCAGCTTGCAACGGCCGAGCTCTGCTAGTGCTTGGGTGTGGTGGAGGGAAAAGTGTGTCTGTAGAACTCAAGGTGGCAGCTGTGTTTACACGCACTCAAGCGCTGAGGACTGCTTGGGCAGGTGTGTGCTTTCACACCGAAGGAAAGAGGGGAACACGCCGGGCCCTCTCTTGGGACCTAGGCTGCCTTGCACAGGGCCACAGCAGAGAAGCGGACCTCTCCTTGCTCGCGCTCGGTGAACTCTCTGCAGACCTTGGCGGCGTCCTAAAAGAGGGGATGTCATTAATACCCAGCATGAAACAGCTCCAAGTGGAAATCTCAAAGGGAAAGCACTTCTAAGGCCCACAGATGCTCAGAGTTGACCCTGATCAACTTTAAATCTCTCACAAACCTTGAAATCCTGGAGGCAAAAATCGGGTATTGGGAAAGACCTTAGCTGCCACAGGAGTCACATCAGAAGCTCTGACTCTACCACTTCTGCCATATGACTCTGGTCTTCTCTTGTACTTGGCTTGACAATAAAGTGAAACCATGGACATTCTTTTCCTCAGCTGTAAATAGTCACAACACTGACCTCTCTTCTAGGGCACATAGAGAAAAGTCCTCCTAATTCAGAATCTCAAGTAGAGACAAATGTCTTCCCAAGTAAACATTTTATAAAATAGTCTTAAAGTCTACCTGGTATAGTCCAGGCACAGACAAGTGATAGATTCTTAAGATTTATGGAGTGACACGTCATACTTCTAGAACCTAGATTACAAGGGCCAGTAACAGAAAACTGATCTCAATGTATTTGCCAAATTCTAGGCTTCAGTGCTTTGGAATCATCAGTATCAATCACTCTGTTCCATCTGTAAAGAGCCGAGTGGAAAGATTATACCACAAGCTATATTAAATCTAAGAACTTTTCAGATGAAAGAGAATACTGTGCAATACAAAACAGCTGAGGGACTTTCAGCCCCTAAATCACTAAGGCAGTAATGAGTTTATCTCTTAAAGTACCAGCTGCAATGCAGTTTCAGTTCTACTTTGGAACTACATTTAAAAAGAGGGAGAGGTTCAGACAGACATCTATGTTCTCTGTCAGAATTTTTAATATATTACTATTCCAAACCCACTTCCCTAAAGCGCTTTTCTGTATTTTGCACGGTGCTGACACCATTAGGGTTTTCCTGCAGAGAATAAGCCACTTCCTACAGACAGCTCTGCTTCCTCTGTGTACCAGGGGTAAGGACCCAATTCATTCAAGTTTAGCATACTTTGGAGCTAAGTTTATGTATTTTCTCACCAGTTTAACAATAATTGGCTTAGTGTGTAAGTTTAGACAGTTTAAAATGCTTTTGACCATACAAAGCCAGTTCTACTTAATGTAAGTTTTGTTAAAAATGATGCTTTAGAGTCATTAAATTTTAAATGAGATCCCAATTATAGAAATTAGTTTTTATTTATATAAACAAGATTTACCTTACCCACACCTCACCTGATTTTGGTATTCTATGTGGGCACATTTTTATGGTATTAGTCTAGGGTCGGATATAAGTGTGTATCTTAAGTACTTACTTTAAAAGTTTAGTCTTTCCCCTGACTGGGTTAATCAGGAATTCTACATCTGCTATCTACCTCTGATACAAATTCCATCACTCCTTTCTCGAAGCCCCTTTCCATGTCACATTACCATTCCCGTATCCTCTCATGTACCAAGAACTGGCTTTCATTAATCTCCATTTATGTCTGCACAAAGTGACATTAGAGGGGCACAATTTGGTCCACTAGTAGCCTGAGGGTAACAGGCTTGTGATGTTTCATTATAAAGCAAGGTTGCATCGTACATACAGTGACTAAGAGTATAAACTCTAAGGGCAGAACCACTATTCTGCTATTTAATTAAGTTCTTATTTGGGACTTTTTGTCTGTTTTTTGAGCTAGGATCTTGCTATGTAGTGCAGGCTGCCCTCGAACTCGCAATCATCTTGACTCAGCTTCCCCGGTCCTACGATTACAAGGATGAGCCACCACAGCTGCTGGTTTTGCCTTTTATAATCTTGGACAATCTCTGCCCATTTCCTCATCTGTAAGAGAGGCCAGGAAGTCCCACCACATAACATCATTGAAAAGATCCCACAAAAGACAGAACTTACTTGGGACAGCTTCTAGCCCAGGAGTCAGCAAGCTGGAGCCTGTGGGCCTGACCCAACTTGTTGCCTGGTTTGTTAACACAACCACTGCAGAACACAGCTACATGCCTTCCCTTGTACACAGGCTGCCTGGGAACAGTCACGACAGAATCTAATACTTGCAACAAAGCCACTAGCCATGCAAAGCCTGGAATCTTTTCTGTCTGGCTCTTTACAGAAAAACTTTGTGCATGCCCAATGTGCACATTCCAGGCACTCAAAACAGATCAGCCATGATGACTGCCGTTGTATCTTAATAGAACAGCATTCTGCATCTTTATCATACACAATTTTCCTTTCAAACAGCAAAAACTGATTGCATCCTAGAGACTCACTTTTAGGTTGGAAAGGGCTAGAGCAGAATTCCAACCCCTGTCAAGGATCAAGAGGTGTCTGTAGTCGCTGTACCAGGAGGGTTACACAGTGATCCTGGGAGCCTAGTGGGGGGCGTTTCTCTAATATTCTGCTTCTCTAACACTGAACCATCTGGGATGAAAAAGCTATATTTGCCTAGCAACCAAATCCATAGTAAACTACCTGTAAGTTTGAGCCAGATCCCACAGTTGCAGAGGATTAAGGCAGGCACGGGGGCTGTTACCTGAGTCTTTCCTGATGATGTAATATGACAGGAAAACAATGGACATCTTAGTCCCCCATGGAGCCACACAATAGCTTTGAGGCTAAGTCTGACTATGGACAGAAGGCAGCACATGGAAACAAATTAGTCAGGGCTCCTTTAAAGGATCCTGTTTGAAAAAACTTGCTATAAAATGAGGCAGGTAGAATTACTAAAATACCTAGGTTGTGAGGACTGCTATCAACCCAGACAACTGAGGCTGATGATACTCAACAGTATCAGCACTTCAGACAATGTGGCTGAAGAGGCCTGGTGGTGGCTTTGCAAGAGGGGTGCCCAAGATTACCTGCAGCAGGGAGTCCTCCGAACTGGTGCCATGGTTCACTGGAAAAGGCATCCGCCCATCTGGAACAAAGCAACCAGGCCTATCAGTCTCCCCTGGCCATTTCCTGGCCATGGCACCTATCCATCCCAGGGGGACTGTTTTGGATTCTTCTGCACACCACTGCCACTCCTACCCAAGTGTGGGTAGGAAGCAACCGGCCACAGTGATGTTCATCTAATCTACAGCCCAGGAGATCACACAAACCCAGTCCACTACACTGAGGGGATTGTGCCCCCATCTTTTGGGAAGAAACAGCAAAAGTCACATGGGGTCCCAGGAGGGGAAAGACAAGCCCTTTGAGGTCTAAGTTGCCCTTTAATGACTCCTGACTGCCCCCAAGTCTCCTCTGCCCCAGTGAGCCCACAGCGAGTTGAGACAACACATCTCCAAGTGTTTCTCCATTAGAGATGGAAATTCCTCCTTAGTGTCATAAGCCAGCTTATCAAAATCACTCCTGGGCTGGCTAGATAGCTCAGCGGTGTAAAGCACCTGCTTGGGGACCAAGGTTTGATCCCTGGCACCATATGTTGCCTAGCCCCACCCCTGGGGTGGACTGAGCCAGCTCCCATCCCCCCAAAAAAATCACTCCAAATTCATTTTGCACAAAGATCATATTCAGGCACTGATGCTCCTGTCCTAAAAGTATTTCTCGTCTGAAAAGGGCGGTGAAGGGGAGGAAAAGGGAAAAATCTGAGCATTGCTGCCTTGAAAAGGCTCACTGAGGGATCCTCTTCACTGGGTGGGGCCTAAAGCCATTCGTCTGGCCTTCCAAGTGCCTGAGGGGAGCCATTCATCTGGCTCTGCAAGTGCCTGGGTATGACAAAAGGTTCAGGGCCCCTGAGTGGACCCTGTTTTGGCTTCATGAACAATGATGTGCCAAGTACCACAAAGTCATGCATCTATCCTGTAAGATAAACTAAGTCCAAAGGAACGCATGCAACTGTACTGGATTCCAAAAACGAAGCAATACATACCCAGTTCATAGAGGTGGCCGTCCACGTTGTTAAATAGAATAAAATGAAAATTCACTTTGTCATCTACCTGAAGAGAGTCAGTGTGTTTTTGAAAATGAGTATCAGAGAAGAGGATCTTGTTAAGAATAAATTCACAATTCAACTAGGATGGCTATTTTTAAAAAATTATTCTAGCTGATATTTCCTGCATACAAGTCTGGAAGCTAACACCATTAAAGTAGAAATTCTGGAACTGTCTGGACAACTCTGAGGGTGTGATTATTAAGTTCAGTAAAAACTGAAGAGTAAAGGCAGGGTTTGGGAGGGTAAGCATTTCACTCAAGGGCAGGCCGAGGGCGTGGCGCAGTCACCCACGGTAATCAGGGCACTGGCCTCTGACTTGAGTTCAGCAGATGACAGGGGACCCTGTTCACATGTATGGTACATTTAATCCTGCCACAACTGGCCAGTCTTGCTAGTATCTTATTCTCCCCAAAAGCCCGAGAGAAGAACTCATTGAGTAGGAGAGAAGTTACTATTAGGAGTCATTTTGTTCTAAACATAATACTATTGATTTGAACTATGAAAAACTACTTCAATTGCCAGTGTGACTTCTGAAGTCATTTTGGTAAACAGATCTAGTCAAAGCATCATCTGGGTTGATTCTATGATTAGGTGGCTCGGGTGGGCAACATCTGCTATGTTCCAATAAAAAGACTCCTGCAAAGGTCCTAGTGAGAGCATGGGTGGCACCTGAGCTGCCCGGCCAGGACTGGTGTGTGCATTTACCCGACACTGGCCTTCCTGGGCCACAGCATCATGGGCTGCCTGGATAGCCTGTGGAAGGGAGAGAGAAATTAGCCCAAAATTCTCCAGAATCAGTTCAACCCGCTGCTCTCCAAGTTCTCTTTTTACCTCATTCTTTTCAAAGCACTTTGCTCTGTCTTCAGGGGACATCTTCTCTGTTTCAGAAAGAAACTGTTTCAGAACTGATCCATCCTCTGGAGAGAAAACGCACATACTAGCATAGAGACAAACAATGCAGATAGGAACATATTTATTGCCACCTTAAGCTGGTCATCCTGAACATCTGTGTGGTACAGGGGATAGAACTCGGGACCCTGCGCTTGCCAGGCAAGCACTTATTCTACTGAGCTATCTCCCCAGCCATCCTGAACGATCTGAATCTTCCATGTGACCTCCAGGGAAGAAGATGAGTTATTCCCTCTCTCCCAGCCTCTTTCGCCAACACCCTGAGCTAGCACATTCAAGCTAGGCAGGCTCTCTATTACCCAAGGTACCTTGCTCCTTCTGGCCTCTGGTTCCTTCCACCTTAGCTCCTTCCCCTTCTACTTCCCCCCGTCTCGCTAATCTCTTATCACTTTCTGACAGACTCACCCACTTGGAACATGGGCTTGTTGAGATTTTAGTGCCATAAAAACAGGTTAAAAGAAAATAAAATAAAATAAAAAAACTCGGACCTCAGAAATACTGGACCCCAGGGAAAGTGAGATTTTACAGAAGACATAGAAAGGATCAGGCTACAGTCACTATTTGAAAAAGCAACTTCTAGAAGGTCTGGACATTCATGGCCAGATAAGCTATTTTCATTTCAAGGTAGCAGTAGGCTGCCCAGCCTGCTGCTGTATCCAAGGCACTTAATAATGTATCCATCCTATCTATGATCCTAGAGTAACATTCTAATTAGTTCTCCAACCAAAACTCAGGTAGAAAATTCTACCTGAGCAGTTTAGTTACTCAGATGGGACATTAACGCAAAGATCTCAAGTAGACCTGAAGACCCACACGGTCTGGCTTAAAAACAACAGACTGGCTATCGGTATAACCAGTATGTTATTGCTCAGGCTGGAAAAGTCTAGGACACAGTCATCACAGAGCTATAGCAAGAACAACTTTATCTCAAAAGACCTCAGCTTGAACTTTTTAAATTTTAACAACCTTGCTAAGTGAGGACCACTTCAAAATCTGAAGAAGCTGAGGACATAGCTCAGTGGTGGCACCCTAGATTTGGTCCCCATCACGGGAAAATAAAAATCTGGGACAGGACTTCTCTTAACTAGGAAGAAGGCTCTGAGTAAAAGTGAGTCTGACCTGTGTTACCATTGTTTAAAAAAATCACAGTCAAAAAAGAAAGAAAGAAAGAAAGAAAGAAAGAAAGAAAGAAAGAAAGAAAGAAAGAAAGAATCATAGTCATCCAACCTCAGAAATTTTGGACCCCAGGGAAAGTCAAGATTTTACAGAAGAAACAGAAAATATCAGGCTACAGCTTTTTAATCACACAAGTTACTACTTGAAAAAGCAACTTGTATGAGGTCTGGATATTTATGACCAGACATGCTATTTTCATTTCAAAAGCACACCTAGGAGTCTTGGTCACACTTATTTAAAATAAATTAAGTGTGAAATGTTTATATTTTTGGCAGTGCTGGGAATGTAACCACGCTAGGAAAGTACTTTACCACTAAGCTAAATCCCCAACTCCAACACGGCTCCCCCTTTTTCTGAAACAGGGTCTTCTTATGTTGCCTAAATTGATGCTGAGGGCCGGCAGTATAGCTCAAAAGACTAAGCGCTTGCTTAGGTAAGTGCAGGAGCCAGGGTTCCATCCCTGGCTCCGCATGCCGTGCCAGCCCCGCCCCTGGGTGTGCTGAGCGCGATGGAAGTCCAGGCGTGGTGGCATGCGCCTATAATCCCAGCACTTGGGAGGCAGAAATCAGGAGGATCACTACTAATGTGGGCTGTGTAGTGTGACCCTGCACCAAAAAAAAGAAAAGGAAATCTAGAAAAAAAAAAAAAAAATTGATGCTGACCTCCTGGACTCAACAATGCTCCTACCTCAGACTCCTAAGTATCTGTGACTACATAGGAGACACCACACCACCTCTATCTTTGGCCCCATTGTAGGCAACAGCATAAATCATTATTTGAAGTTATATAACTCTCAGCCTCCCCCAGCTACTGTCAATATCAGAGTAAGTTTTATGGCAAAAACAGCCAACTTCATAAGTTTATAACTTATCTATGGGCATTCAGAGTTACAACAGAAAGATCATGTGGCAGTTCAAGCCTAAAGGATTTACTCACTGGCCATTTAAGAAAGTTTGCTGGGTCTTGGCCTAAGTGATACATAATGACCATGTTACTTTAATATATTTAATACAAGTTCATTATACTTCTGCCAGTTTTAAGGGCTTTAACTTGTTTTTCCTATCTTCTCTACAACATTCGTTGCACAGGAGGGCCAAAGCCCTTGATCTGAATCTGTTCAGCCACATCTTAAGGTTTCTGCAACACCTCCCTACAGGAACTTCCTACTCCCTGCCCCAAGCAGATCTGTCCCTCCCCTTGCCTATGAGGCACAGAACCATTGAAAGCAGGCACTAGTTGGGGCCAGGGAGATGGCTCAGTGGAATAAGCGCTGCCCTGGCAAGTGCAAGAGCCTGAGTTCAATCCCCAGTTCCGAAAAAAAAAAAAAAAGAAAGAAAGAAAGAAAGAAAGAAAACAGGCACTAGCGAGGCACAGTGGCGCAGTCCCGTAAGCCCAACTACCCAGAAAGCTGAGGCAGGCAAGTTGGAAGCCAGTCTGGAAAGTTAGCAAGACTTCATTTCAAAATAAAAAGAGGGGGGGTGGACATGGTGGTTCACGCCTGCAATCCCAGAACTCAGGAGACTGAGGGCAGAAGGACTGCCTCAAGTTCCAGGCCAGCCTGGGCCACAAAGCAAGACTCTATCTCCAAAGCAAAAACAAAACAAAAGTGTCAGGGTAGGGGTGATCTTTGTAGAGATGCAGCTCAGCAGTGGAGAGCCCCTGGGTTTGATCCCTAGGACGGCCAGAAAAATAAAAGGTCAGTTGCAAAGCCTTTCTGCCTCTGCCTCATCGCCAACTTTCCAGAACTGATGAGAATCAAGTAGAAGCAGCCTGTGAGAATCACCGCATGAATCATCCCTTGCATTTGTTATCCTACCCCTCATGCCTGAGAAGCTGAGGACATGGTGTGGAGAGCTTGCCTGGCACTTCACCCTCTAATCTGGCTGGAAAACAACCCAACCATGCTTCAGGGAAGATGAATTTTCTCCCCTCAAAAGAAAGAAAATAGTAGAATTCACTCTGTGAGCATCTGTATAAGGAGCAGCCATGACTAAGCAGGTTTCAGATGTTCTGTTTTGTTTTAAACTCTGAAACAAGACCTCATGATATAGCCTGGCTGGCCTCACCCTCGTGATCATCCTGCCTTGGCCTCCCCAGGGCTGGGATTATGTGTGTGCCACCATACCAACTCAAGAAGAAAAGCAAAGTAAGGCAGTGACTCTGCTAAACAGACCTAGGTTCTGAGCTGAGGCCTGAGTCCACTCACTGTGCTTTCTGAACTCCATGCTTCAAGTTTCCATGGAGAAGAATCAACCTTAGAAGCCACACATACATACCGAAGTCCAGTTTGTCTCGGTTATTGGCCACTGCGTGGATCAGTCCGATGGTACCACAGGAGTTTCCGATGGTCTGCTTCATGAAATATACTTTGGGACTCACTTCTTGTCCTTTCAGTTCTTCGATTTGTTTTTTCCTGAAGTTCTCATGCTGTGAAGGGAAAAAAAAGAAATCTGACATCTTCAAAGGCAAGTGCAGAGAGCAGATGGAAGCACAGCGGGCTGCACGACCTCAGTGAAAACCCAAGTGGGATATGGGACAAGCAGTCATGGTTCAATCAAGACACTGGCCAGCACCCAGACTATGGCCTGTCTGCCTCTCCACCCACAAGGGCTCCGAGAGGCTCTCAGACTCCACCCTGACGCTGCAGTGCAGTCCCTGCCTTGGCTTAGGCCCAAGGCTGTGTCTAGACACCACCCCACTGCAACCTTCCAGCATGGGATGGAGGGCACCAGGAAGTTAGAAAACAGACTTATTTATTATCTTCTTCCTTGAACACTTGTGACTGTATTTCAAAGACATCTTGATCAAGCTTTGACCAGTTTAATGCCCAATGATCTCATCAGCTGATCTATACTTTGCTCTTAATGTTCTATTCTGTACAAGTAGACATCTCTTCAAAAATATCAACAAAACAAGCATAAACTGCTGAAAGAGGACAGCAAAAAGAAATTATTTCCTCTTCCCCCTCTTTGAAGAAAGACAACTGACCTAGGGTGTTGGGAGATAAAATATAAAAACTTCTCACCCTACAAGATGTGATATTAGTTTGTCCTTCCCAGCTCTCTAGTTTAATCTGGGGACATACCAGTCATCAGGGGAGAGAATCAGCTGCTAGTTTCTTGTACCGTGATTCCATGAGCCTGAGAATTCACTAATGAGCTTAAAGACCTGGGAATTTATGATTTTGGTGAAAAGCTGATGCTAGTGCTACAGAAATGCCTATTTTCCATAAAAAAAATTCAGAACATCCAAAGCTTATTTCCAATCCTAGTACCTTTGCATTACTATGTGTGGAGATGAAATTTGAGCTTGCTCTGTGGCACTAACAGAATAAGATCTTTCATCCCATGGATCAATTTAAGCAGGGAGTGCTTGTTTCCTGTCTACTAGATCCTTGAATTGTTGTTACTTGGTTGATTGTTGAGTTCTCACCTTTTGAGATAAAATTTCACAACAAGGTAACACCTTCCTTTATGATAGTTTGCACTCTTAGTGAAATTTCTGTAGTTTGCCAATGTTTAAAATTAATGGTTTAGAAGAGATTCATTTAGGATTTCATATGTCCTTGGTCAAAATTAAGTGCTTTCTAAAGTAGCACTGCCTTGTTCAATGCTAAAAATCAATCCATGCTTTGGCTTTTCTTTAAATTTGCTTCAGTGTTTTGTCCAGTAGGCATTCTCTCTAGCAGAGTAGGTGCTCAGTAAATTGGACAGGTTGAACTATAGCCAAAGATAAAACATAAGCCATTCACACTAGAATGTTCTCTAAAAAGATCCACTTGAGCCAGCAAAAGATCAGTGAGCTTTCAGAGACAATCCTGGTACACCACTGCCTCCCAAAGGCCTTGCCTAAGTGCTGCTCAAAACCTCCAAGTCATTATGGTTCCTCTGATGAAAAAGCCCAGCAAGATGCTCAGTGGAAGACAGGAGGCTGGCTGACATTGTCAAGGAAGCTAGTGTGACTCACAGTGAGCTGCAACTCGTAAGGCGTTTGGAAATAAAAACTATCAGTTTCTAAACAGCTGTAAGTTTTTTAACCAATAATACTCCCATCTAGTAGGAGGAAAGCCTGGAATTTCACGCTCAGCTTGGGTTAGGCTCACAATGCTTCCAGGACACCCAGACTTAGGATGCTGCTCGGTTAACCTCCCTGTGTTTGCAATAATACCCCAAATGCTAATGCCCTAAGTTTTGCTAAAGCCAGTTCCAACCACTTCCAAGTCACAGCATTGGAAGACAATGCTATGTTAATTACCAGGGGTCCACTCCTCCTCCATACAGGAGGCAACAAATACCCCAGCCAAGTGTTGCATATGTGATCCTCAGGCTTAAGTCACACATACCCTTGTCCATTTGTAGGAGTAAGAACACCTGAAGAAAACGAAAAGGCATCTCCAAGGTAACAAGCAGTTTTTTCATTTAGGAACATGATCAGAGAGGCGAGATAAAGAAAGGTAGTAGAAGCATCTTGCACGGAAACCAGCACAAATAATTCAGCTTTAAAAGGCAGATTCAACATGGTCTGCTGTCAGGGCTGGAAAGGTAGGGAGAATCTTTTAGGTCCACCTGGGCGAATCCCAGGCAGTGGAGGTGAGTGAATTAGAGACCCTGTCCAGTTGCCAGAACTTGGCCAGACCAGCTCCCTCAGTTGTTTCATACGTAGGAGAGCCTGTCGGAACCAGACAAGGAGCTGAGGACAGGCTTCAATTCCACAAAAGAAAAAACCAGCCATCCTCCAAAGCAGAAAGCTCAATAAAGTCTCCATTCAAGGGAGCTCATAAATAGTGTGGATTATTTCCCAAAACGGTTGGGATGATAAAGTTAGGATAACTGGGCTCTTCAATTCTAAACTTAAGGACGTTGTGAAGACGAGCCCAACTGGCTGGTAACCACGAAAGCGAAGCAGCTGCCTCCCTTGGAGGGGGCGGCGGGCCAGGTCTGGGCGGCCAGGCCGGGCGAGGGGCGTTCTCCTGCCTCACCGGAGCCTGGGAGTTTGGAAGCACTGTGCCTGCTCAGAGACCTCCCTATCCAGGGCGCCACTCCCTACCTGGGCGGTGAGGGGAAAGAGCAGCAGCAGCGCGCAGGCAGGCGCCGGCACGGAGCCCAGAGCCTCGTCCTCCAGCCCCAGCACGTCGGCGAAGCGCCACTGGCCGGCAACCCCCAGCCGGGACAGCACCTGCGTGGAAGAGACCCGGCGGCCAGGCACCAGGGACAGGCGGTCACCCGCACCGGCCGCGGGGCGGGGCCTGCACGCGCC